ATCTTAGTCTACCTTAATCTCATGTGTTGTTGATGTTATCTAACATTGCTGTGTATGGTTTTGAAGGAATTTAGAGCTATTTTTTTTAAAAAAGATATCGCCATCGCCATCATCGTGAAGCAACGGGTTATGATTGCAAACCCTTCTAGTTGTATATCAAGTGTATCATAGGTAATTTTATATGCATTTCTCTATTTTCTCGCTTATTATTATTATTGAATATCAATCAAACTCTTTAGAAATGCTTATAAATTTTATGGGTATCTCGCTTTATCACAGTCGACAATATAAAGATAGCACATGAAGTTGAGAAGGTCATGTGATGGGTTTAACATTATTTTCGTACCCAGTGCATTAGACCGAGGAAATTTTGTGACCGAAATACGACGACGAAAAAATTTAAATTCGGGATTCMTTTGGAACCACGAGTAAAAAAAAGTAGACTASACAGACATTATAAAACTGCCATTCTTGCGTTGAAATTGCATATTACATATAATTATTTTGTCTGACTGTTACAGATGGAGTGCCAGCTGTTATCGTCTATATTTTTATTTTTAAAACTGGACTGACACATACTGGGAATGCAAAGGGCATCTCAGATCAAGTTCAGTCTAACAGACGCTGAAGTTTCTCCTTATTCCTGTGACAATTATTCTGAATTCCCCAGTAGGCCCCTAAATTTGTGTAAACCTTCCTTGGCAGCGAGTCATTATAAAGATTAAMACATARTCTGCACAGCCATTCAGAATTCTTAGTATCAAGTCTGAACTTTGTCTTCCAGCTAAAATGTTCATTGTAAGCAGTGTTATTTTTGTCCAAGTACTTGATATAATCAGAGAAAGCTTTCATACTCGGGAAATCAAGAATRTTAATAAATGAACCAGGTATAGCAACCTTAGCATCATAATTGGAGCCCAAAACAATTGGGACCATGTTGTGGTTATGTGGATTGCTCCAATATTTTTCCKTTATGTAGTCAATGCACAGTCCATTTTCAAAGGAAAGGTAGAACTTGAATCTTTTCAAATAAGATGAACACTTTGRTGATCGTTGCTTGCAAACTTCTGGAGTKACTTGATTGAATAGGTGGCTGCAGCGCCCTATAACTGTAACCGGAAGAAACTTCAAGAKTTTTTCTACAACTTTATCYCTAACAGTTCCACAGTGGCTCACTGCCCAAGCGATAAGCTTGTCCTTTCCCTTGGCATAGTTGGTTTTATTAGTAGTTTTTTCCTTAGATTCTATAGCGCTGTAATGGCCGTAAGGGTAAACTANTTCCTGTGACAATTATTCTTAATTCCCCGGTAGGCCCCTAAATTTGTGTAAACCTTCCTTGGCAACGAGTCATTATAAAGATTAACACATAATCTGCACAGCCATTCAGAATTCTTAGGATCAAGTCTGAACTTTGTCTTCCAGCTAAAATATTCATTGTAAGCAGTGTTATTTTTGTTCAAGTACTTGATATAATCAGAGAAAGCTTTCATACTCGGGAAATCAAGAATATTAATAAATGAACCAGGTATAGCAACCTTAGCATCATAATTGGAGCCTAAAACAATTGGGACCATGTTGTGGTTATGTGGATTGCTCCAATATTTTTCCGTTATGTAGTCAATGCACAGTCCATTTTCAAAGGMAAGGTAGAACTTGAATCTTTTCAAATAAGATGAACACTTTGATGATCGTTGCTTGCAAACTTCTGGAGKGACTTGATTGAATAGGTGGCTGCAGCGCCCTATAACTGTAACCGGAAGAAACTTCAAGAGTTTTTCTACAACTTTATCTCTAAYAGTTCCACAGTGGCTCACTGCCCAAGCGATAAGCTTGTCCTTTCCCTTGGCATAGTTGGTTTTATTAGTAGTTTTTTCCTTAGATTCTAAAGCGCTGTAATGGCCGTAAGGGTAAACTATATCTGAGTCCAATTTGTACGTAATCGTCCAATTGAAAAGCCCATCAAATTGAGCAGGATCATGGTCGATATTTTCTGGACTTTCGTGCGTAAAATAAACCCATCTCTGGTGTGGATCTCGTTTCAAGTACTCTCCTAYTCGTTTTAATCCAATACGTCCTAATTCAAGGTTACTTGCATGAAAGACGACTGCATCGCTAAACGGCAACTCGCACTTGTTGTAAGTTATCGAGCAGTTGTGAGGACATAGTGTAAGGTCGTCAGGCCATGGAACTCTACCAAACCATGTTGTATAGAATAAAATTCTCTTTGAGCCCTGTTTATCATCAACAGCTTCGGCAACTTTACAGTGCCTATACGTCGCCCAAGGATGGTAGAAATCTCGTAGTGTTGCATGTATTACATTTKTTAATACTACAATGATGAGAATTATAGCCACAAGGGCAACAAGAGATCGAAAAATCACTTGTAGACGAACAGACTGTATAAGTGGCATGGCATCACTGAAAACTCAGGTGACGATTTGAATACATACAYATATGTTTCCAAAGTACCACGCCTGCATGATGTACTCATAGCATGTCATGGGAGTTTGGCTTTCGTGTGTATTCAGACTTCAGACAATTCTAAGTTCATGTAGATGGGTCATTTGCATACAAGATAACGTGTTCCTAAATCATCGGATGGTTGGTAGAGAACAAAAGAACGATACTGAGATCACGACAAGCTACCCTGGTTCCAGACTCTTCACAATCTCGTAACCAGAGCCCACACTTTTGCCATCCAGCGGATGACAATGCTTGAGAGACTCTGGAGGAGTCCA